TCCTTTCCAGGGTGGCCAGAACTCCCCGGTTCTCTTGGAGGCCCCCAGGTCCTTTGTGCTTTGGCAAAAAAACACAAGCGAGACCCCCCGCATCGCCCCGAATATATGTAAATTGATATATTATTTCATATATTCTCAAGAATACATCCAAGTCTCTAAAGAATTAATATCCAAATACATACATATATATGTTTTCTAATTAGTTATAGATACATGAAATATGCATCATATATGGTGTATATATTGTAAATCCTATGTTGTATATATGACATATATCACATATATGTATATGTCACTATTTTCTAAAACCTTAGGTAAAATCAGTGTAGAAATCCATAGGATACTCTGAAATAATGACATAGAGAATGAGAATGAGAAAGTAAAAAATGACAATGAAACAATAGATGAATCTAGGTAATAGCATTCACTATATGATTTTAAAAATATTTTTAGACATTAGAAAACTGACAAAATAAAAAGGAAATGTCATGAAAGACTGGAAATTATCAGTATTTATACATGTGTGTATGTTCTCTAATTCATCTAGTATACATAGATATATATATATATGACATATGTATTATATATGTTCAATTAATTAGAAACCACATATATATGTATTTATTCTGGATATTAATTCTTTAGAGACTTGAATGTATTCTTGAAATAACATCTCCCAAATTTTACCTGTGTTGTCATATTCTCTGTGGTTGTTTTCACAAACAAAAGTTTCTATCCTTCATGTAGACTCATTTTTCATGCCTCTTTCTTGTGGTTGGTGAGTTTTGTGTCTTATCCTATATTGGGACTATCACAATATTTTACTGTGTTATCTTACAAAATTAATATTCTTTCCTTATAAATTTGGTTAATTCAAATAGGATTGACTTATATGAAATAAGGATCCAAACATGCATACCTAATTTTTAAATTTCTAGAAAATCTCCCACCAACATTTATTGAAAAGTTCACATTTGCTCACATAACTTGATTTTTTTACCTGTAACATATATGAAATGTCCATGAACAATTATCTGGCCTCTCTTCCATCTTCAATTAACTTATTTACTTTTCTGTACTATGATGTTAAAAAGTAAATTTTACTTCCAGTATGTTACAAATATTTTTCTAACTTCTTCATTTATTTAATAATATCTTAGCTATTCTTGACTAATGTGTTATTGAAAATTTTGAATTGTCTTATTAACTTCTGCAAGCAAATAAATGTTTTAGTCTCTTCTTGACATTGTAATAAGCCTGCAGATCAAGGTGGAGAGAATGGAATCTTTGACAATATGGAGATTTCCAATCCATGAACATAATATGAATTTCCCACTTATTAATAAACGGTATTTTAACAAATATAACATTAATTTCATAACTTTCTCCATTACTGATAATTATAATAGTTTTTGATAACTTTTCATTTTGTTATGGGGGTTTTCCAATATTAGAAATCTTAATAGAAATATTAAAATAACAATGCAACACATCTTCTTACCTAGATTCATCAAGTGTTACATTGCTGTCATTTTTTACTCTCTTTCTCATTTTCTGTATTACTCCTTCAGTTTCCCTATTGATTTGTACGCTTATTTGATTTAATGTATTAGTGACATCTTTTTGATATTTAGAGTCTCCGAAATTTATGCAGTGAGTACCCATGCTTTTTTAATGTGAAATCATTAATATTTAGATAATTATAGGCTTGAGTAATGTTGAAAACTAATTTTTCCTATTATACCTGTGCATTGGAGAGATAGATATTCAACATTATTCATCAAACCTACTAAATTACACTAGACATTACAAAATTTGCCTCTAGATTCTTGTGGGTCTTCTAGGTACATGACCCTATCACGTGGGCACAATGTCAGCTCTGTTTCTTCTTCAGCATCTTTTGAGATATTCTCTTTATCTGCAGTGTTGTACAGTTTCAAAATACTTTATCTCGGAATGGATTTCTGCTTACTCTTCGTCTGGTTTTCATTGACCCCTTGAGTGTTTAGAGAGGTCTTTCATAAATTTTGGAAACGTATCAATCTCTTTAAGTATTGTCTGTGCACCCTACTGTCTGATTTACTTGGTGTTTCCCAATTGGCAATGATGTAATCTAAAAATAATTAAAGTTTTCTATTACTTTGATAGGTGTTTGAATTCCAGTTGACTTCAGAGGACATGAAAGCCATAGATGGCTTAGACAGAAATATACGATATTTGACCCTTGATATGTAAGTAATTTTGGTGATGGGTGTCCTAATTTATTTTCAGAGGAGGAATGTAGGATGGGTGTTGAGAGTTACCTCCACACTAGGGGCACAGAGGCCAATGTGAGACAGAGGTGAGACAGGAGCTTTCTGGACCTCTCCTCCTGGATTCACTCCAGAGCTCTGTTCTCTGGCAGGGAGAGTGGCCCGGGGTCAGCGTGGGTTGACCTGTGCCTCTGCTCTTATGACTCCATGGAACTTTCCAGAGCAGCCAAGATCATTGCTGAATGTGCACCTTCCATGTAGGCCTCGCATTTCTACCACTGTCTAGTGGCCATGATGCAGATATTGCCCATGTGGTCACATTAGATGTTTCCAAATTTGTGCTTATATGTTGTTCTTCCCAACCTGCACAATGTCTTACCAGATGAAAGGCAGTTCCACCAACCTTGTGGGCCAGGTTCCAATTCCGACCTACTTCACATGGAATTGCTTGCCAGATCCTGTCAATTTAGCATTTTCAATCTTTTCAAACCTTTTCCCTCCTTTTCTCTGCATCTTTTCCCATGAGCCAAACACAGCATTTGCCTACAAAAATTCTGTCTTAGTGGAGCGAATAGGAGCGCTTGGCCTTGATGTTCTGCAATATAGAGATCTCAGTGCAGAGAATGAAGAAATTTTAAAATCAAATGAAGAGTGTAGATGCAAAAGCACCATTGTTGGAGATAATTTATAACCAATAACAGACGTTTATTATTCCTCTATGTTCTAAGGTTCTAGGATTCACAGAAGGTCACTCATAAAATGAGGGAAAAAAGAAGTTATGTAATTGATGGCAGTGGAGATTTTAACAACTAATAGAGATGATGAGATAATGTGTGAAAAAAACAAACACAATGGCACATCATAAGTACGCAAAATTTGGTAGATATTATTAGTAGTATTTTATTATTTAGAGGAAAATACAAAATGAAAAAGGAAATCATAAAAAAGAAGGAAAAGTGGCAAGCATCAGAAATTTTTTACAACCAATCAATGTTTTCTGGCATCATAAAATCAATCACTAGTGCTATTTCGTAGAATTCAAATATGATCTGGAGTAAACCACTTGCAAGCTTCTGAGTGTTTGCTCTTGGTGTAATCACAAAGGATAGGCTCAATTCCCTAATTAACAAGTTGTAACTGTATATGTGAGCAGTCATTTATCTGTGTCTTTATATTTTCGGTTATTTCTGCCTATAAAATGGTTTATGCATTGTAGCTCTTTGGATATTGGACCCTATATCAAACACAACAATTTACATTTCTGAATCTAACTAAGTATGTTGCATATGATAGGCAGGTAATAATACGTTAAGTGATTAAGTATTATTGCTACTAGTATCATTGTCACACGCAAAATTGTTTGTTAGTGATGAGCATATATCTACCTTATTCCTCTTCAATGTAAGGCAGAATGAGTTCCTGTTTTTACTGAGAATTTGAAATAGAAAAGTCAGAATATCTCTTTGCTCTGTTGACAGATGTAGAGAAATATGTTTGAACATTTGACTTTGTGTGTTTTATGTGTTAAGTTCTAGGCAGGGGAATAGAATTAAGTGATTATTTTGAAAATACAGATACAATAAAGTTATGTTCATTAAACTAAGAAACACAGATTCTAGAGCAGTCAGAAAATGAACTTCTTAACATCTACACTAGTGGCAGTTTCCTACATTGTACTACCCACTAGTAACAGAGTCATTGCCATTCACAGTATATATACTTTTTTCTCTTTTCAGTTTTGCTGGCCCCCCTAATTATCCATTTTCTGATGAATATTAACATGGAGGGCATTGCATGAGGTCTACCAAAAGGCCCTATGTGTGGATGGTGACACATAGGATGTCTCTATGCTGGTGACTGGACACGTCGTCTCTGGTTAAATCTCTCCTGCTTGACCACTTCACCAAGCTACAGCTAAGCCCATTGGCCAGAAAAGACAGACAATGATTTTTTTATCATTTTGAAAAAATTAAATGCTCTCTCCTAAAGATTCTTCACCTGCTTTGGTCTCCGTAACTTCTATGTTTTCTTTCCTTCTGACACACTAATGACCCAAAATTGTGATTTGCCTATGTGTTTAGGGTCAGGGTTGGAAGATGATAACAACCATTTAAGATTCATTTCTGCAGTGGGAATGGGTGGAGGTTCACCCTCTGGGAAAGGGGCAGGTGACAGGTATTGGTCAGTGCCTCTCTAGCTCTTGTTGGAAGAAGCACATGCAGCATGGAGTCTACAGGGTGAGCGATATTGACCAGCAATTCATGGGCTCCCTCCAGCAGTGTGAGAGTCAGAGTTTCTGGAGCCTTGGGAGGAGGCATCCCTGTGAGAGGGGGCATCAGGGAGGTGGAAGGGCACCCACCAGGAAAAGTGATTAGAAGTCAGGTATGAGGAGGTATTTAAATAAGAGAGAGTCAAGCACATCTCTGCTTGGAAAAACATTTCAGCACCCTTTTTTTTTTTTTTGATCATTATATCTTGTTTATAAAAGGGAAGTTTCCACAATTTTTTAACAAACCCAACAGCTGAGAGTCAGGCGTGAATCTTTGATGTGTGCCCAGTCACAGCGTTGACCCTATTGGTCTATGGTGGGGCAGAACATCAAAGTCATCATCGACTAATCACATTCCCCTGACTACCTCATATTTAGAAAATATTCTTAGATTGTAAAAATGTGCTGTTCATTGGTTATATTCAATCTTTTAAGTGTTTTATACATTAAGCAAAGCATAGTTACAAGTATAAAACAGAAACATCCCAAAGTCATTATGTATTGCACTCAAGATTAAAATGGGAAATAATAAATCTAATCAATCATGTGTTCCAAGACTTCAAGCACCTTTTGGAAACAGGGTATGTGAAACAACACACTGTTTTCAAACATTGGTAAATTGTAAGAACAACTCTTACAAAGGCATTTCATTCTTATACATAATTTTCAGGGGAACTAAGTAAATCAGCTAATCATGAAGACATGATTTTCATTTCAGACAACACTTTTGAAAATGTGGGATAGTCTCAGGGCTTAATGATCAAAGCATTTTGAGAACAGTGGTTTTTAAGCTGGGCACACTTTCTAACACATTTACCTGCCACTCTTCTTACTCTAGTAGCCACGTTAACCCCTTCAGATATTCCTTCTCAAGGCATGTCTCAGAGCTGATAGGCATCCCACCAAGTTTTGCAGCTCACAATTTTTCCGTAACTTACTTACTCTGTAAAATTGGAGGAGGCCATAAACTTTAGAGGGCCCTAGACCAATTTTTTTGGATTATTTTTGGTCTACTGTCATTCCGCTGATGACCTTAGATATTCTCTGCATTACATATCACCTCTACGCAGAGAAATCCCCCCAAAAATATTTCTAGCTCAGGTTTTTCCTCCAAATTCTACAATGGAAGATCACAGTGTGAACCCTGCATCTCCACATTAAAGTCTAAACGACATTCACACTTAGCATGTCTCAAAGAAACCTCATGTAAACCACGGCCATCCTGTTCTACCTTAACTTTCTGAGTCCAAGGAATGATAATTTCATATCTCATAAACCCGATTGATATAATTGTCAAGAAAAGATTGACATTTTGTTAAAACTTAATAGTCAAGTGTGTAACGCTTAAGCAAACTTTCATATTTCAAATCTCTTTTGCATGTGTAACTCTGACTTCAAGATGTGAAATAATCATTGGGTCAGTCATTTGTAAATACTAAAAGTGCTATGGACTTTTTCCAGTTTGTGACCATCCATTTTTATAAAACTCTTATGGTTAAAAAAGAAAAAAAATTTACTCAGAATTTCATAAAGCCAAACACCTGATTTCAGGAACACTTGTGATGTCAGAAAATTTTATAGGGACCTCCAATCACTAATTTTACTATTTTTTCTTTCAAAGAAATGCTGAAGGGAAGAATTCAGGTTGAATGAAAGGAAATAGTAACTTACAGCCATATAGAGTTATAAAGACTTCTTGTAAATGTAAATATATGGTAACATAAAATCATGTATTTTTGAAATTTTGGATTCTACTCGTTATTTTACTTCAAGATTTAAAATATAAATGTCTAGAAGTAAGTATAATTCTAAATTAGTATGTGTGCAATGTAGGAAGCTGTAATTACTGACCAAAACCATGTGAAGTGGAGAAAACCTGGGGACGTAGATGTTTTTTACATGAAATTGAAGTTAAATTCATATTGATTTAAAGAAAATTATTGTAACTTTATAAAGTTTTGTCATCTCCACAGCAATCACAAAAAGAATAATTGTAGAATATATGCAAGAGGAAACTCAGAAGGGAATCCAAACTTCATTTAAAAAATCACGCAACCTCACACAATGGTAGTAACGGTGGATATGAAGGATAGAAAGCTATAAACCTCGTAGGAAAACACTGAAAATGGCACAAGTGACTCCTTCGCTGTCACCAATGACAGTCATGTGTGGCATAACGCCTGAACTATCTTCTGAGAATGGCTTTGTTAGGCAACTCTGTCATTATGGGGACATGATAGCATTAGAGATAATTCTCTCAAACACTGTCACGGCCTTATCAACTATGCTTCTGTAATGTTCTAAATCCTTTGCTGCCATTCCAACAATGTTTACCACATTTTCCTAAGAAACGGAATCCATTTCACCAAACCACTTTTCTTGCTCATTCATAAGCAGCACTTCTTGTTTGTTAAAATTACATCATGAGATTGCAAGCATTCTATAACATTCAAGCTCCAATTTGAATTCTAGTTCTCTTGCTATTTCTACCACATCTGCAATTACTTTCTCCACTGAAATCTTGCATTCCTCCAAGTCATCCATGAGGGTTGAATTCACTTCCTCCAAACTCCTGTTCAAGTTAATGTTTTGCCCTCCTGTCATGAATCATGAATGTTTTTAATGGTATCTAGAATAGTAAATCTTTTCCAGAAGGTTTTCAATTTTCTTTGCCCAGGTTCTTCAGATGAATCACCATGGTAGCCGTAGACTTATGAAATATATTTCCTGAACCACAAAACAAGAACATCAAAATTCCTCTATGACCCATGGGAAACAGAATGCATGTTGTGTTAGCAGACATGGAAACAACAATAATCTCTTTCAACCTCTGTGTAAGAGAGCTCTTGGTTGATTAGGTACCTTGTCGACAGGCAGTTCTCATTTCAAAAAACTATTTTGCTTTTGCTGAGCAGTAAGTCATAACAGTGGGCTTAAAATATTCAGTAAACCATTATTTAAGGAGATGTACTGATATCTAGGCTTTCTTGCTTTATTTATAGAACACTTGCAGAGTAGACACAGCTTAAATCTTAAGGATCCTAGGATTGTTGGAATGGTAAATGAGCATCATGTGTTATAATATAGCTAGCCAGGGAGGGAAAAGATCTCTTTTTAAAAGCTACTGAAAGAAATCAGAGATAACACAAACGACAAAACAAGTACAGGGGGCAGCAAAAGGTAACAGATGTCAACTATAAGATCTCATCAAGAACTAAGAAAATGGAGAAAAGTACAAGATGGCAGAAGGGAGGCAGTGTTAGCATGCCTCTCCCACTTGGAGATTAGTGTGTAGGGATTTACATTGTGAATTTCTTTTCAAGAACCAATGCAAAGACTTAACAGAAACACGAAAAAATTTCACATACACTTTGAAGAAGTCACAGGCACAGCCCTACTCCATGAAACAAGAAGAATACATCACATCCCCAGATTCTGAGGGGACAGAGTTCACTCCAGAGTATACATCCCCACTGGGGATCTGGAAATTCAGGCCACAAGAGAAGGCTTTAATCCTATGCAGAGTGGGAATGGATTTAGGGAGCCAGTGAAATACACAAATAGAAGCAGCAGTGGGAGGTGCCTTGCAGGCATTCCCAGTCTTCAGTGTGAACTCAGGGAAGCCATTCCTGACTACATGTCACAGGGGCCCTTGGCGAAGTCAGCAAATGAGCTCAGAGAAGGGTCACAGGGTAAAAGAAGCTCCCAAATGAATTTTGTGATATAATCTCAAGTGGGGACACGTGCCCTTGAGTAGAACCCACAAGGGAGAGCTGGAAGTGCATTGCAGACATGAGTGCAGAAGCCGGGTATCCAGACTTCTGGGCAGACCAGGGGGGATGTGGCCTGAAAGCCATGATGATTATCTCTGTGGGGAAGCTGATGGCCTGGGGCTGGTCTGAGTTTTGTGCACACACTGTCTGGATATAAATCTGGCACTGTTAGCAGAGCATTACAGGAATGAAAGGAATGAAAACTGCCTTGCCAACTCCATGGGTGCTGGGTGAGGCTCACTGTGGGGGGGCGTAGAGCAAGCTATTCAATCTTAAGTACAAGGCATTTGAGTTCAGGGCATGGAAAAATACTGAGGCACTGTGTGTATGTTATTTGTGCTGAGAATGAAACTCCTTGGCCTTGAAAACAAGACAGGGAGTGGTGTGTGTGGTGTGATAAGGAATGCTGAAAACGGCCTCCTGAGAATGAGGTTTGAGTGCTTTTACAAGGCCACAGATGTCTCGCGACCTGACCTCATAAAGCCTTCTAGTGTAGGTTTGTGGTTTAACAAGCCCTTTCAATAAGTACTTGGCCGATGGATGCTGGAGGGGACCTTCTTAGAAGAGCTGCCCCCGCCACCACCCCACACCACGCCACTCAGCTACAATTGTCTGAGAACTCACTGTAAGCTGTAAGCAGCCCACTACTTCCCATTCCCTTTGTGAATTCTTCTGTGCAGCAGAGGCAGTGAAACTCTCCTCTGAAACATTACCCCAGCAGCCTGAGAACCACCCCTTCACCCTCACAGGGGCTGCAGCCTGCCTCATCCAAGGAGACTCAAGAGTGCAGACCCACCTAACCCTGGACCCACTGGTGGTACCCCTCCACCTACCCTGGTAGCTTAACAGAAAGATACACTTTTAGGAGCTTCATAGCCCACCCCACCCCATCCCTCATTGCCTGAGAAACCACTTTCCCTGGGCAACTTAGGGCAAGCTCAAATCCCACTGTTACCACCACAGCTGGTGCTCTTTTGCAAGTGCCACCCCCTAGCTGGAGACCAACCAAGACAGTCCACACAGCACCTCTAGGAAGAATAGATAGAACTGTTCCCAGGAAGGAGAAAACACCTGCATGACCTCAGCTATTATCACTGTGTACCATATCCTGACCAACCAGAGGTCTTGAGTGGGTCCACATAACGAGTTCACTGCTCGCATAACCAGCATTCAAGAAGCCAGCACACTAAGCCTATCTACAGCCAGGGAATCTCAGAGTCTACGTCACTCCCCTGCCACCTCAATCAGAGCTGCTGCTGGTATCCACTGCAGGGAGACTCATGCTGAGAGGAAGCCTGGGCTGGATGGCTGGAGGATGAAGAACTGCATGGAGGAGACGGAGGCACCCCAACAGATGCCCCATGGCCATCTTGAAGCAGAGCTGCCTCACTGCCCTGCACACACATGAGAGCCCAGCCAGGAACAGAAGGACTGGGCTACATTCAGGTTGAGCCCAGGCCAGTTTTCCAAACTTGGCATATGAGTTAAATAAATGGCTTTATATAAAGCCTTTATGTTAAGAGGGTTTGTTTTATATCCCAAAGTATTCCTATAATCCTGATCTCCTCTGCATACAAACAGGACAAACAACGCAATAAAAAAGAGTCAGAGTTAACAAGCACTTCACAAAGATAAAACTCTAAGACAACAAATATAAGAAGTATATACTATGTGAGTATATATGGAAAAGAAATTCACAATGACTTGGAGACTAAAGAACACCTAATTAAATTCCTTGTTTTAGAAAACGAAGAAAAGGAGATGTCCCTGGCAGAGGGATACAAAGTCAACTGTCAACTCAATGCTGAAACCCAAATCTCTTGTTTTGGTCCCATCCTATTTCTCTCCACCCACGCTGCCTCTCCTGTGATAAGAGTGGAAAACCCTTATGATGAACATAAAGCATTTGTGCATAGAATATGCCAGGGAAATGGAGTTGGCCCAAGGGTGTCCTGAGAGCCTTACAAGAAACACACGTGTGAACGACACTGTGCAGGAGCCCTGAGGCCCACAGCCCGGCTCCTCACCTTCATGTTCTCTCTGATCCGCTGCTCATTGAGGCTCTTGGCCAGGACCACAACCCCACACTGCAGCTGGTAGCGCAGGGCAATCAGGGCTGGGGTTCGCTTGTGGTTTTTTGCCAAGGCACAAAGGACTGCGTCCTCCAAGAGAACCGGGGAGTTTGGGTCCACACTGGAAGGAAAGGCAGAAATGCTGAGGCCCTGAAGCTGGGGATAGTTTGTTAGGCGGCTCCCTAAACAGACTAAGGCGTCCACTCTGCACCAGAGCTGCTCAAGTGAGTCTCCTGAACAGCAGCAGCAGCATTACCTGGCATCTCGTCAGAAATGCAAATTCTCTCTTCTCCCCGAGACAGCTGAGATTAACTACAAAAGACTGAGCATGCTTTGATTAAACATTTCTCATCAAAATAGTATTTTAGATAAACTTCCTGTTGCTCTTAGTACCATCGTAAGTTTCGCTGCGATCCCAGAGCACTACCGGCAACCAGAACAATGTCTTCTGACTTGCAGAAATCCAGCAGTTTTCTCTGGTTGAGGTAAGGATGACATTCCACCGGTAGATGACCAAGATAGAAAAGCATTGCATAATATGAAACAGTTATGTTAATACTAAAAGGACTAAAGTTAAAAGAAGCTGAATAAATGATGTGTAACATTAAAAGTGAACTGTCAAGTAATAACATTTTTCATAAAAATAAATTTATATCCCTGTCTCCTAAAAGCATCAGCCATTTCTAAGCACAGACAACTCTAGGAACCTGATCCTGCTTTCTAAATAACCTTGACTACTACAAGGAGACCTGGGATCAGGTAAAATTCTTTTGAGTCTTGGGCATCAAATTGTGCCAGAGAAAAAGAATTTGTCAAAGAGACATGGGGGCAGGTCTGAAAGACAAAAGCACTAGATTCATAGAAATGTCACTGGTGACATTTGAGCATCAAAATAAA